TTTTATTCATAAAAATGCAGTTTCAACTGCTTTTTATTTTATAAAATCCGTCTTCTTGCGCCACCAGAGGGCCTTTTAAACAATAGGTAGTCTGTTAGCGTTGGTCAGTATTAGTCCAAATGCAATACGAACGTTTGTTTCTTGAAAATTTTATCACGATTTAAATACAGTATTTACTTTTAATATTACCGATATGTCATCGAAAAGAAAACGTGTTGTATTATCATTAAAAGACAAATTAAAGTATTTGTTCCGATTATCCGGATTTTTCCTTATACTTCATCCCCAACTAGTCCGGATAATCGAGGTTCTACTGTATTTTCAATTTGATAAATTTTCTGAAACGTTTACAATCGTTCTATAATCGAACCAATACGCAATAACAATTCGAATTTAAAACGGTTCGAACATTTGGTTAAAACATCGAAATATATGAAAATATTTATAACAATGTCTGAAATGTTATCAATTTAATATACCTAAGACTAAACGTAGTTGAAAACAAAAGATCGCATGTAAAATAGTACAATAGAAGCCGTTCTTCCGGATAAGCCTTAATGCACTGTCTCTCCCCCACTTGGGAATTTCGAAAAATCACTTCTTAGTGTACGTTTCCATAATGTATTCTAACCGTGCACCAAATTTCAGCTCTTTAGGTTTAGCGGTTTGCTCAAGGCGATGATGAATCAGTAACTAAGTCAGTTAGTCAGGACAAGTAATTTTATATATTTAGATATTAGCAATTACGCCCAGTCATACAACTGTTCTTCAAGATTTATCGACCATAATCTGAATTTAATCTTAAAATTAACATTACAGTAGATTTCCGAAAACTCGGCCTAATGTGGACCGAAGGCTGGGCGAATTTGTGAAAATGCCAGGTTATCGGGAATGGGGTTAAAAAAGAATAAGTACGAGTGTTTCCTCAGAAAATACTGTACTGTACAGTACTTGTATATATTGTTTGCTTGAGAATACAACAGAGAATAAGCTGCCCAAATACCCTTAAACAAAGGAAAAGTAAGTATTTTATGAAGGCATAGAGCCTTTACTACATGAAAATGAAAATTAATGAATACAGTAATTTACCTGACAAGACAGACTTTAGAAAAATACTTTATGAGGCATAAATCTATCTACAATGAAAATTAACTAGAAGTGTTTTCGCCCTGCCAGTGTGTGGCCGAGTTATCCGGAGTGCCGGGTTATCAAGTGCCCAGTTTTCAGGATTCTATTGGTACATTATTCGTATTTGTAACAACATGAAGTAATTTAAGAACACTGTGAACAATAAAGAAGACGTTTGTGGTGTTTCTATTTTATAAGAACTTGTAGTAATATTTACTTTAGATAAAATCTCTTTAGGATGCTGTCAGTACATGTGTCGTTCTAACTGATTTTTCCGTTTAAGGTACCGTTAAACCACTTTCTAATCGTGACTGTCTTTACATATTCTTTCTGGGAAAACTTCAAAGTGATCGTCTACAAAAATCCAAAAGTGATAAACCAAAACTCGTTTTCTACGTCAAGAGAGTGAAATGCCAACATGCATAAAATATGGTTTTAAAACAACTTTTTATTATACATTTGAAAATATGAGTAATAATATAAATGTGACAGCAAAATGTCTCCAATCAGCCAAAAGAGACAACAGAGAACAGGAGTAAAAAGCAATTATATCTCTGTGTTTCTAATTACAGTATTCTTGTGATCAAATCATGCGCATTTAATTAATCACTTTCGAACAACAATAAANGGAGAAACCCTTTACCTGTGATCATTGCAAACGGAGTTTTGCAAAGAAAGGAAATCTGATTGAACATCTACGAGTTCATACAGGGGAAAAGCCATTTTCGTGTACTTTTTGCTTACAAAAGTTCCGTTTTAAAAGTAGTTTAAATAATCATATTATCAAATGTCATAATAACAATGAATGAAGGAAAATGTTAACAAAACTATTTATTCGTATTAATATTCGTATTTCGATTTTATTGAATATAAAAAGAAGAAATTTTTGAAGTTTTATTTCTTTCATTTTGTAACTTTGATATTGTATATAAAGCAATTGCTTTTATGTACCAAGAAAGAATAGCTTGTAGAATTATTTTTTAATGAATGAAAGTTGAATTAACGTGGTGTAATTTTACTAGTTTATGTACATGTGTCATTCATTGATTAATACAGAAGAATACGTGATAGGATAGAGCACGGGTATGATGAGTAATAATATAAATGTGACAGCAAAATGTCTCCAATCAGCCAAAAGAGACAACAGAGAACAGGAGTAAAAAGCAATTATATCTCTGTGTTTCTAATTACGGTATTCTTGTGATCAAATCATGCGCATTTAATTAATCACTTTCGAACAACAATAAAATTATAAATTATTATTTCTCGGCATTGTTGTTTACATTCTCCGAAATGTTTACATTCAATTTAAAAGATTAAATTCGCAGCATTTACTGTTTAAATTAAATTAATTAACAGCAGAAATGGTGAGTAAAACCTTTATTTTGTCAAACACTTTTAATTTGGCAATGATTTTCAAAAATTTTTGACAGGACACCTTCAATCTTAATCTCGTATCGTGCCTAGAGTACACGTTACAGATTTTAGCATAATATTTCAACGCGTGATAATTATTTATATTACAATAGTTAATTTAGGTTTAAACTTTTACTAATTATTTCTTTTTACTCAACGTAATTTTTTAAAACGACGGAAAACATCAATGCTCGACTTGCGGTAGAACATTTGCGACAAAACAGAATTTACGGAGACACAAGCGGATTCACACAAATGAGAAGCCATTTAAATGCAATATCTGCGAACGTCATTTTTCGGATGAAAGCAATTTAAGACAGCACTTGATATCGCATTCGGATGAAAGACCATTCAAGTGCAATTATACAGGTTGTGGATGGAGCTTTAAATGGAAAAATAATTTAGATCGACACGTGTACAGAAAGCATCCTCAACAGATTTTATCTAAAGTAAATATTACAAGTTCTTATGAAGTAGAAACACCATTAACGTCTCCTTTATTGTTTACGGCGTTATTAAATTACTTCATGTTGTTATTTTGTTAAAAATACGAATAATATTATTAAGATTGAATTTAGATTACGGTCGATAAGACCTGTACTACTGTGCGTAATTGCTAATATCAATAATAAAAATAATAATATTACTTAACAACACCTTCTAAGCTGTATTTTTATAAAATAATTTCCTATACATATAGTTTAATAAAATTCCGACAATGAAATAAATCGTCAAAGTCGATTCACAACTTATTTAAATAAATAATCGACATGAAGTATTTGCATTTAAAGAGGTACGTTTCGTGTGTGATCATTGTAAATATTTAATTGAAAACTCAATGAATGATTAGATTCCAGCAGATGACCCGAAGATACAAAGCCGTATATGTCACATTTGCAGAAAACCTTATGAAGATTTATGTGCTTTAAAAATTTATTTGAGAACTCACAGCACAGAACGGCCAATTACTTGTAATTTTTCCAACGGTAGATTCATGTACAAACATAACTTACACAAACACATCAGAAAGTTCCATCCAGGAGAAGAAAGTCCATCTTGCTCCCAGGTAAGTGTATAAATGTGTTAATGAGTGAACTCATAACCGACTATTAGAATGAAAAAATATCAATAACTTCACCCATTTAACCAACACGCATTGTTCCAATAATTATTAATAGCAAATATTTTACACACGTGTATTTGTTTAATTCGATAATCCGAGTAAATAAGTTTCTTCGTAATTAACAGGATAATTCCTGGTTAAAAATATAAAACCATTCTAAATTCTTTGTCTAATAACAGCCATTAATACGCTCAGACTGAGCATTTTTTCTATGAACTATGGATCATTCAATAATTGGTGTGTACCATAATGTTTCTGTGTCGTTTCGTATATCTAAGACGAGAGATTAAAATTAGTTCTTCAAATTTGAAATTAGTGGATACAATCTAGTTCAGAAATTCGATGTTTTTATTGACAAAACATCATTTGTACTAAAATAATTTAAACAAGAGCCATTTACTTTCGTTGTGGTATCGTCGTCTCTGTGTTAGCGTGTGTGAAAATAAAATGAAAATAACGTTAGTTAATTCTTCCTCACTCAGGAC